GTGAGCTCGCCATGATATCCGCTCCGTTCCCGTGTTTTCCCCGCGTCGAATCGTTTGCCCGTAGGCTCTGGTTCCATGCTCGCCGGCAAGAAGCTCGCTGCCGGCAATGGCTGGCAGCCGTGTTGTCTCCTGTTCCGTCCGTACAGCCACCTCTCTCTCCCTCTTATTCTCTCTCATGGAATTGCAGCCGTCCAGATCGAGATTAACGGACGAGATTAGAAGATACCCCCTCGTGGATATTTAGTTAAAGAGACCCTGCCTTTTCTTATATTCATGCCCGCAGTCCCTGCGCAGTTATAAATCTGAATTTTATTTCTTTTAATTCGAAAATAAGTTCACAGTAATTACAGGATTGCCATCTGTAGCTTATAATTAGCATATTTTCTCCGTTTTAAATCCGATTTCGATGATTTTTCGCGTCTGTGTGTTCGTAGCGACATCTAGAATAGTTTTACAAACTTTTCAACTTGTTTTTCCACTGTTGGTGTACTGTTCTAATTAATGTCTCTTGTTTGCTTCGTGTATGATCGCTCGTGGATGCTTGTGTATTGCTGTGTCGAGGATCGAGTATAGACGGTGAGCAGTACGACGTTGAGCAAGGTCAATATTTTGACGACCAGCGGAAGTACTTTGAGCAAGGCAAGTATAGCATAGGATCATCCTTATTGTCCTATTCAATAATTATCACTTTAAATCATATGCATAAGTCTACCTCGATAACCATAGGAATTTTCCTAGCAATTGAGATCTTGATTCCTTGTCATCTATGGGTTTATGCATTTGGTAGTATGATGTTAGTGCTCAAACAACAACTATGATCTTGTAACTTGACTAGTGGAATATGCAATAAACACTAAAAAATGCTTTTTAGCAACAAGGAACAAGGGGGCTAGAGCATAGTTTTTGAGATGCTCTAGATTCCTCTCCTTAAGGACTTATCTGTAAACGATCATCCGGGACTTACAGTACAACCATGAGAGCTACATGGCTCTGACTTTAGTTCAGTATGAAGACATTTTTCTAGCTTGTCAGTGGTTACCCGAAAGGGCGTAAAAGGGGCTTGCCGAGTTAAGTATAGTGCGGCCTCTGTCCTTATGTGTATAGCCTACGCGGAATGTGTCATTCGGAAGTGGGGCTCTATATTCCCTTGCCAATTGAAAACCTAGCGGCCTTAACTTGTTAGACGAACTTCTGAAAGACTTTATAGTGTACCCTGTCCGCTCACCTTGGAAGTGTTATGGGAGTCATGACCCCGGGCAAATGGGAATCACAACTCATGGTAAAAGTGTACAACATTTGTAGAGTGTAAAACTGGTGTATCAACCATGCTCATGGTCATGAGCGGCCTTGTACCCTTATGGAATAGATGATCATTAATGATAATTATGTTTATGTTATTCATTATTCATGTTTACTTGATCATGTGTTTACTTGGGTTTATGTTAAACATGTTGCTACTCAATTGCTTAAAATTGTGACTTAATAAAAGCCAAATGTAGTTAAACCCGTGTTTACCTTTTGAGCCTCATGAACCCCATGTTATTCTTGTTGAGTACGAGATGTACTTACGCTTGTTTATTTTTACTACTTGGATAAAAATCCCGGATGGGTAACAGATGGCAATGGTTATGAAGATTTTTCCTGAGGATTACTAGTCTCGCGATCAACCAGTCGACCGTCCCTGTGGCTATGGAGGCACCATGGAGTTATCTTTATTTATTTCCGCTTGCTAGACTTTGATATATTTATGTAATGGATTAAATACTCGTGATGTAATAAAGCATTGTGCTTGGTATTCACCTTTAATTTGTCTCTATATGTGTATAATTGATTCCTAGGCACACATATAATATATATCTAGATTTGCCTTTAAATTTGGGTATGACACGAAGGAGGTGGACAATACCGGCTTCAAGCTCTGGTACATAGGGACAACTTTAAATAAAAATGGAGTAGGAATTTTGATTGATAAGAGCCTCAAGGATGATGTGGTAGAGGTGAGTAGGCAAGGGGATAGGATCATCTTAGTTAAACTTCTCATTAGTGATACGGTCTTAAACGTAATTAGTGTATATGCCCTCCAAGTAGGCCATGACGAGAGTGCTAAGCGGCTTTTCTAGAAAGACTTAGATCGCTTGGTTAGAGCTATCCCTATTAGTGAGAAGCTCTTTATAAGAGGTGATCTTAATGGCTATGTAGGTACATCAAGTGCAGGTTTCGAGGCTGTTCATGGGGGGTTCGAATATGGTAGTAGGAACTAGGAGGGAGAGGAAGTCTTAGACTTCGCCATAGCTTTTGATCTGATGATAGCTAACACTTTCTTTCGTAAGAGATAGTCCCATTTAGTGACCTTTAGTAGCGGCCAGTACTCTATTCAAATCAACTTTGTCCTTACAAGGAGGGATAAACGAACATGCGTGGCCTGTAAGATGATATCTAGAGAATATGTGGTCGCTCAACACAAGTTGGTGGTGGCTAACTTCCACTTTCTGGCGCAAGCTCGTGGGAACAAAGAAACTAGGGTTGCTAGAATGAAGTGGTGGAAAATAGAAGGGGAGGCATCAAAGGTCTTTAAGGAAAAGGTCATTGAAGAGGGCCCTTGGAAGGATAAAGGCGATGCAAACAACATGTGGGAGAAGATGGCAACATGCGTTCGGAAGGTTGCTTCAGAAGTGCTTGGAGTGACCAAAGGGAGCGGATGCGACTCGAAAACACTTGGTGGTAGAATGAAGATGTGCAAAAGGCTATTAAGGAAAAGGAGTGCTATAAGCGCTTGTATCATGACAGGTGTGTAGACAACATAGAGAAGTACAAGGTGGCAAAGAAGATTGCAAAACGAGCGGTGAGTGAGGCAAAGGGGGCGGGCCTATGAGGACCTTTACCAACGTTTGAGTACGAAAGAAGGAGAGAAGGACATTTATAGGATGACTAGGGCTCGCTATAGAAAGACAAGGGACTTCAACTAAGTCAAGTGCATAAAGGATGAGAGGGAGCAGCTCTTGGTGAAGGAGGATGAGATCAGACATAGATGACAAGAGTATTTTGATAAATTTTTCAATGGTAAGAACAAGAACACCACCGTTTATTTGGACGACTCGTTTGATGACACTAACAGGCGCTTTGTGCGGAGGATTCAAGAATCGGAGGTCAGAGAAGCCTTAAAAAGGATGAAAGGGGGCAAAACGATAGGCCCTGATGGTATCCCAATCAAGGTGTGGAGATGTCTCGGGGATATAGCTATAGTATGGCTAACCAAGATGTTCAACAATATCTTTCGATCGAACAAGATGCCTGAGGAGTGGAGAAGAAATATATTGGTACCAATCTATAAGAACAAGAGAGATATCCAAAGTTGTACTAATTATTAGAGAATTAAGTTGATGAGCCACACTATGAAGTTATGGGAGAGAGTCATCGAGCAGCGCCTATGAGGAATGACGCAGATATCAACAAACCAATTTGGTTTCATGCCCGGAAGGTCAACCACAGAAGCAATCTTCTTAATAAGACAAGTTATGGAGCGGTTTAGAGAGCAGAAGAAGGACCACCACATGGTTTTCATTGACTTGGAGAAGGCTTATGACAAGATACCAAGAAATATTATGCGGTGGGCTTTGGATAAACGTAAAGTCCTATCAAAGTACGTGACCCTCATCAAGGACATGTACAATAATGTTGTTACTAGTGTTCGAACAACGATGGTAACACAGATTACTTCTCGATTAAAATTAGACTTCATCAAGGGCCAGTCTTAAGCCCATATCTCTTTGCCTTGGTAATGGATGAGGTTACTAGGAACATACAAAGGAATATCCCTTGATGTATGTTGTTCACTGATGATGTAGTGTTAGTGGACGAAAGCCAGGTGGGAGTAAATAGAAAACTAAACTTATGGCGACAGACCCTTGAGTCTAAAGGTTTTAGATTGAACAAAACTAAAACCGAATACATGAGATGCGACTTTGGCGGAGCTGCACAGGAGGAGGGAGATGTGAGTTTGGAAGGTCAAGTAGTGCCTAAGAAGGATACCTTTTCGGTATCTGGGATCAATGCTACAGAGGGATGGAGATATTGATGCGGACGTTAGCCATAAAATCAAAGCAGGGTTGATCAAGTGACGACAAGCTTCTTGCATTCTCTGTGACAAGAGGGTACCACAAAAGCTAAAAGACAAGTTTTATAGAACGACGATTAGACCGGCTATATTGTATGGAGCAGAATGTTGGACTACAAAGATTCGACATGTTCAACAACTGAGTGTTGCAGAAATACGTATGTTGCGACGGATTTGTGGTCTCACAAGAATGGACCGAGTTCGGAACGATGATATACGTGATCGCCTAGGGGTAGCACCAATTGAAGAAAAACTTGTCCAACATCGGTTGAGGTGGTTTTGCCATGTACAAAGGAGACCTCCAGAGGCACCAGTGCATTGTGGAGTCCTAAGCCAAGCTAATAATATGAGGAGAGGTAGAGGAAGACCGAAATTGACATGAGGGAAGACAATAAAAGGAAATTTAAAAGCCTGGGATATACCTAGAGATCTAAGTTTGAATATGAGTGCTTGGAAAGCAGCTATTGAAGTGCTTGAACCATGACTTGGGGCTCTCGGTGGGTTTCAACTCTAGCATACCCTAACTTGCTTGGGACTGAAAGGCTATGTTGTTGTGTTGTATGGATTTCACGTACTCTGCTGGCTGTCAAACTTTTGTTCTTCACTTGTCTCGCATTTGTAGTCTATTAATTATGTTCAAGAAATATCAGACAAATAATGTATTTCCCTTTACTCCAATATTTCCTCCATTTGTATTAGAATATAAACTGTAGCTTCAGACAAACCCAGGACTCTACATGGACATAAGGAACTATAAAACTATATACCAAGAATCCACAACAGACTACAGACTTCAAATAAAAAAAAGTGATGAGTATCGTAATCACTATATCGGTAAAACTTGAATCGCTAGTAATCATGGGTAATGTTTCAACCCTTGAGGAGACTAGTGAATGTTGCGAGTTATTAGGCTCTCAAAAATGCTGTACATGTCCTTGTTTTCAGGACCGAAGATTTCATCAGCCTTTCTTAAGGTATCCTGTAAGAGACATTCAACGAATACCAAAAGGGGATCAGAAAATTAGTTCATAAATCCCCAAACAGATGTTCATTCAGTGTTGATCCATTTATACCTCTCTGGTCTGCCTGTGTGCGTTCAGCTCCTTCACATTAGCCAGGAATGCACCAAACTGCTCATACGATAATCGATTTCTGCATGTACAACAGTTAAAGAGGGAAATCAATCACACACTTGGAAAAATGAACAAAATTTTCTTTGTAACAATTAAGCATCAATGGAGTTGAAAGGTTTCTTTCTAGATTTCTGGAAAACAAGATCCTCGAATCAACTAAGCCTACTGTGCAGCTATGTGCAGTTCTTGAAGGCACTACATGATAATAATTTCCGAAAGAAAAATAAGTACACCAAACTCCTTCTATTAACTCATCAAATATTACACTCACAAGGCTTGAGGTATATTTCCGAGAAAAAAATCTACTGCTAAACTGAATATTTGGAAAAGAGCACTTCTGCACATACCTGACCTGACGAAAGAACTCCTTTCCATCAACTCTTGTTCGTCCTAAAACAAATAACTCTCAATGAGAAAGAGTATATGGATAGCTTATTTATGATTTCATGTTAAACACAGAAATCAAAGATCCGAACCTAGTAAGCAAACAAACAGTTCACTTTTGGGTCCAGTGGAGCTGCAATATATTTTGATATTTACAACCAGATGGCAGTGAAATTGTAACATATCTTGACCAATTAAATGTAATATATGTTGATTGCTGAACAAAGCAGCATTAACATACAGTATAACTAGCTCTTGGGGTTGTGAGCTAACCTGTTTGACTTGGAGCGTCAAATGGAGAGCTATGCTGACCAGAAAAGCCTGAGGACCTGTCATTAAACATATTCATCGACGTAATGGAGATTGAATGCCGCCTTGGCGGTGATACCGATTCAAAACGCCTTGGAGGTGAGCCTGGGGGAGTCATCCTTGGTGTGCTGTTGTATGACGGCAAAAATACATGTGGACGTCCAGGACGGGGTGGCCTAGGTGCTGCAAGTACAAAAAGGTTCTGTGCGTAAAACATCATTCAACATATTTTTGTATTAGACAAGATTAAGTATATGAAACGGGAATGTACCATCTGGGTCAACTTGGTTATTTTCCTCCGAAACTGAACTTGCAGTTTCTGAAACCTGTGATGATTTGGAAGTTGGAAATGCAGAATTTTCATCTGACAAAAATCCAACAGTCAACATTACCCTAGGGAACTAGAATAAGGTGGACCTAGCACAAGGACCACGAGAATAATGTAGTACCTGATGGCGCAGAGGAGAAATTTGAAGTTGCTGCAACTCTTGCCCCGGGAGCAGTATTCTATTGAAAAGTAATTTAAAAAGAAAAATCACTCTCAATTTAGCTACAAATACAAACAAGGGAAGAATTGAAATGCTAGTCATTTTCTAGGTTCTTGAGTTAAACAACTAGACACAGCCTGAATGCCAGACTTACATCACTGCTGTCGTCTTCCTGGAGGGACTGCACAAGTGTCTTTTTGAAAACTTCCAACTGCACAACGAAGTAGAATATAGGCAGTAAGGTACACAACTATGAAGTGTAAAATGGTATAGCAATCAAGGCTTATGTACAGCACCAATCAATGGTTGGACATGCTTACGAGAGACAAATGCTTGACATGTTAACATTTGTTCAGTTTGAAATTATGATGAGATTGCTACGTAATTGTTCCAAACTAGTAGTGCAACACACAGAAATCTGTCAAATTCTTCCCAAAGTGTTTTATTGGTACCTTGGCGACATCTCTGTTCAACTTCGTAACGGTGTTGGACAGCGCAGAGTTGTCCCGCAGCAGTGCCTCCTGTACGTCCATCGTCCACGATCAGAACATGAAGAAGCATTCGACTGTTAAGTAATTTCGGTTGCCCAAATTGCGCAGCATACATATCACGCAGCTACATTGCTGGAAATAGAGACGACGTTAGGCGCAAGCGTCTTGGGACCAGAGTCGCCGACAGGTGGGACCGACCGAAGCCACCATTCCCCAGAAAGCACAGCTCAGCCTCAGCCAGGCGGCTAGTAAACTGACTAGCGATTACCTTTTCCTCCTCGGCGCGGCGGAGGCGGCCGGTGGCGACGGCGAGCGCGGCGTCGAGCTGCTCGACGCGCTCCCGGAGGTCCTCGGCCTCGGCGTCGCGCTCGGCGATCTGCGAGCGCAGGAGCGCCGCCTCGCTCGCTCCGCGGCCGGTGGCGACGGCGAGCGCGGCGTCGAGCTGCTCGACGCGCTCCCGGAGGTCCTCGGCCTCGGCGTCGCGCTCGGCGAGCTGCGAGCGCAGGCGCGCCGCCTCGGCCTCGAGGCGGCCGAGGCGGTGCGAGAGCGCCATGGAGGTGATCCTGCGCGCCACGTCCAGCTGAGCGAACGGGTCCGATGGCAGCACGGTCATCAGCTCAGCGGGCAGCCCAAAGTCCACCACGGTCGGCGCCGCCTCCCCGGCCGCCGCGTCGTCCTCCCCCACCATCGCGGCCGGAGGCGCCGCCTCCTCCCCTTCCTCTGCCATGTGTCCCCTCCTGCTCCGCGCCTCTTGGACTAGTGCTGTCCGCTCCTTTCCGTGCCGCGACCGTTATCTGCCCGCCCGCGGGGGGATTAGGCTGGTGGGGTGCGAGGTCTCTTTGTGCTTGTGGTGGCGCGCGAGGGCGCCTACCCGACTGCCCGGCGCCACGGGTTTGGGTGGAGGGTTTTGGTTGGAGGCTTGCGCGGTTGCGCCCGCGTCGCTCTCGCTCTCGGTGGGCGCTGTGCAGGTGCGGGGAGCCGGTGCGCCGTGCGCGTCTGGTCATCGGGAGGCGAAGGCGTTGGCGCGGCGCGGGCTGCCTCGGCCTCGGCTATGGGCTGCGGGCTGCGGCATAGGCCAAGGGCGCGCGATTCGCAATGAACGTGTGGATCGGGGTGCCGGCGAAATGGCGTTGGGTGGCTTATTCTGGGCGGTGATTCGACACGTTGGAGTACACGGGGTCCGGGACTCCTCGCGAGATGTGAAGATTTCGAGCTAGGAAAGCGGGTTTGGAACTTCCGGTTGAAGGTTGCAGTGAAAACTACGGATGGTACTGTCTCTTGCAATTTTCACCAGTGGTACTGGGTATTTTAAGGCTTAGATCTAATGTAAAATCGCACAATAGATATTTTACTGGTACTGGGTATTTTAAGGCTTAGATCTAATGTAAAATTGCACAATAGTTCATATTTTGCTGGTACTGGGTATTTTAAAGCTTAGATCTAATGTAAAATTGCAAGCTTAAATCTACCGTTCTTGAGTAAATTAATTCCTAGAGTAAGTCAAACTTTTTTAAATTTGGCTGAATTAATAGAAAAGAGCATTAAGACTTATGACACCAAATTGGTATATAGATTAGATGCACCATACATTATATTTTTATTATGATGTGCTCATTCGGTGGGATAAATGTTCCTACCTTTTTATAAATTCGGTTAAATATAAAAAGCTTCACTCAAAACAACCCTAGGAATTGAAATTTACTCAGGTGTCGGTGCGGGACCCACAGGATACCCCGCAAGGAGGAGAGAAGATCTAGTCTAACTAGGATCCTCCCCATGTAATCTTAGTAGTAGTATTATCTGTAATCCTACTAAGAACTCTCATTGTAAACCGACTAGGATTCTGACCTCCTAACTATATAAAAGAGGGCAGGGTTCCTAGAGACGGGAGAACACAACTTCTACGACACAATCAATACAACGCAAGGGATAACGCCGGCTGGACGTAGGGCTATTACTCGACCACAGTCGAGAGCCTGAACCAGGATAAATCGACTGTCTCTTGCGTTCACCGTCGAGTTCCTGCAAACGCCGATACCCCTCCGAACAAATCACCGTCCCGGGTACCCCGTGACAGGTTGCCCGTGGTAAAACATCGACAGCTGGCGCGTCAGGTAGGGGCTTTCGGCGAATTTGCATCTGAGAGCTCGACGGACCTCAACAACATGATCTTCTCGACGGGATCAACTTTCATTTTCGGCTCATGGATCTGCGAGGCAGACGACAATGGCAAGCTTCAAAGTCGTCTCCTCGAAGATTCGAAACACCATGAAGACTATTCTATTCCGGCGACTACGACGGACCAAATCTCTGGAAGATTCGCGCAACTTATGATGTCCGATTCAACTCAGGTTTCGCGGCTTTGCGCATCCGACTCGAATTCAAGCTCCGCTTCCGAGACAGAGTCTTATCCGAGTTCTTTCGAAAAACCGAGTTCTTTTCCGATGGGGCTCCAGAACGCGGCCTCGGCATATCAAGAAAACAACTCGGAGAACACTAAGAGTCTTTTCAAGAAGTCAGGTCTTTTTCCGTTCGGGCTCCACAACATGGCAAAGGATTATGAGGCACGACTCGAAGGATCCCTCGATCCAGTGCTTAGAATGCCACTAAAAGGAGCTCAGGAAGGTCTCGTACTGACTATAACATCTCAAGACTGCATCGTCCACTGGCCGGGCTTTGTTCCTGAGGATAGCAGTACCCGTCTGGACGACACGACGACGACAGCTATTCTACCTTACCAAGAAGGAGACTCGATCTACGACCTCGAGACCTCTACTAAAGATATCAGCAACTTCGACAGTATGGAAACTAACGCCAATAACAGAACAGTTCACGCACGGGAAGTACTCATGGTTCGCCGTCCTCGGTTACCATTGGTCCCCCTAGAAGCACCCGATGTCAGGTCATCGGATGAATCAGAATCCAATATATCACCATTTACCCAGGGCTACGACGGTGAAACCGAGAATCAGAAACAAGCTAGAGAAAGAAAAAACAAGTTGAAGCAAGGACGCCAACACCGTGCTAGGCAGCGCAGGGAAGCCTAGATCAGATATGAGTCAGAGTTGGCCGAATACGACAGAAGAAAATTACAACGAGAAGTCAAAGAAAGACGCATGGCAGGTACGCCCTACGATAAGATCCGAGAAGCATTAGAAGAACTCAGAGCAACCTCACATCTCGGTGAAAAATATGAACAACTCCGGGACTTGCTCCGGTCAACGGCCCTGAGGACGCATGAAGAAAGAACCCAATCAAGACTACCCGCCAGATCAACGACCCATAGGCAAGAAGATCAAAATCAAAGGAAGTCCGCTTTCGAGAGACTCGGACCAAGTGGAAGTCATAACAGAGAAAGTAGGAGGGATCATAGTCAAGGCCACCGAGTTGAACAACCAAGAAAGACCAGGAGTAGGGCGCCAGCCCAGACGACCTCGTAGAATTACTCTCATCAAAACGACAGTTGGCCAGAAGGAGGTGCCGAATCGGAATTCAAAGAAGCCGGAATGCACGATAGATTCTTCTGTTTTGTAGACTTGCGTCAATACGACTACCTCACAAGTTCAAACCGTCCAACCACTCTAAGTATGATGGCAAAACTGAACCAATGCAGTGGCTCATGATATATTCACAATCAATTGAGCTAGCCGAAGGAGACGACGATATCAAGACCCTGTTCTTTCCTATGGCCCTGAAAACCATGCCTCTCCAATGGTTTGACAAATTAAATCCAGGATCAATCAGAAATTAGGAGGACTTCCAAAGAGCTTTTTGTGAAAATTTTGCAGGGATCATTACGCACCCGGTCACTCACGCAGAATTAAAAGGACACAAGTAGAAGGGAAGTGAGAGTCTCAGAGATTACTATCGACGATTCGGCGAACTACGGGCTCAAGTGCATGACATCACCGAACGAGAAGTAATTGAAGCTTTCTCTCACGGAATCATGACTAGGTGGCAATTTCAAGACTTCTACAAAGAAAATCCGAGAAATAACGAAGAATTCAGATGAACAGTAGAAAAGATGATTACTGCAGAAGAGAAGACACGAGAGAGGTTCCCGGATAGAAGCAACCGAGACAACCCAGACAACCAAAATCATCGAAATAGCAGACATCAGGAAAAAAACGTATACCAGACAACATCGTGGCAATGGCCGACAAATCAAAGAAGTTTTCCAAACCCAGAAGATATGATGACATCGAAAACATACGTTGCCCATTGCACCCTAATGGGAAGCACACCATCGGAAATTGCTACACCTTCAATGATCGATACACAAGAAAAGATAGTAAGGAAAACACCAAAGAAGACAATCAGAAAAAAGATGAAGACAACCACGAAGACAAAGGATTCCAAAAATCCAGAGGGACGGTAGTAGTGATCTTCTCCGGGGCCCCAGATTGCAGAAGCAAACATCAAGAAAATTAGCACTACGGACTATCATGACAGCAGAATCGGCTACTCCAAGATATCTCAATTGGTCACAGTATCCAATCCAATTTTCAGAGAAGACCAATGGACTAGCGTGGGAAACGCAGGCCATTACCCACTGGTTCTAGATCCAACTATTGCCGGTATGACTGTCACCAAAGTACTAATCGATGGGGAGCCGGACTCAACATCATCTTCTCAGAAACGCTAAGGAAGATGAGACTGCAACTCACCGGGATGATTACACCAACAAATACACCTTTTTATGGCATAGTACCCGGCAAGGCAGCCATGCCACTTGGATAAATTACTCTACCCGTTACTTTTGGAACCCCTTCGAATTACCGTACAGAGTTCATCAAGTTTAAGGTTGCAGACTTGGATTTATCATACCATTCAATCCTCGGACGCCCAGCGCTAGCAAAATTCATGACAATACCACATTATCCGTACCTACTGCTTAAGATGCCAGGACCTAACGGTGTCCTTTCTCTTGAAGTGATTTGAAGCGCGCTTTTGACTGCGACGTTCAGGCAATCCAAATCACGGCCAAAGCACAAGCCGATAATGGAAGAAAAGAAATAGCCATTATTGCCGTAGAAATAAGCCAAGAAGAACTAGAGATACCAGCTAAAAAGCCTAGCATCCTCGCACCACCAAAAGAAGCCGACGTCAAGCAAATCGACCTGGGCACTGGCGATCCCTCTAAGACAGCAACCATCAGCGCCCACCTCTCGGCAAAATAGGAACTCGCGCTCACCAACTTTCTTCGGGACAACAAAGATATCTTCGCTTGGAAGTCGGCCGACATGCCAGGTGTCCCAAGAGAGTTGGTATTTGAAACTGTAATTGATGTCAATGAAAGCTCCAAGCACAGCAAAAGCAAAGCAGCTCTGACGATTCTCACCTGACAAGAAGGCAGCGATTAAAAAAGAAATTACAAAACTAATGGCAGCTGGATTCATTAGAGAAATCCTTCATCCAGATTGGCTAGCAAACCCAGTTCTAGTACAGAAAAAGAACACGGACGAATGGCGCATGTGTGTTGACTACATAGATCTCAACAAGCACTGCCCGAAAGACCCGTTTGGGCTGCCACGCATTGATCAGATAGTTGATTCAACAGCAGGATCCGCCCTATTATCCTTTCTTGATTGCTATTCAGGGTATCACCAGATCGCATTAAAAGAGCAAGACCAGAGCAAGACATCTTTCATTACTCCGTTCGGTGCCTACTGCTACAAGACCATGTCG